GAGTGAAGATGAAGATTCCTTGGGGAGTCTCCGGGCCACTTCAGAGTCACCTCGTTTTCTCTGCCTCAGATGAGTCCGCAACATTTACAGAGTTTTTGTGAGGATCAAACAGCTTCCTCCTCCCATTCTTCGTTCTGACTCCGAATGCGGGCGTACAGGGAGGGTCAGACACACACTGCCCATGGGCTTTCCAGACTGATGCTTGTTGGATGAACGGAGGTGTCTGGAGAGGGAAGAGGTGTTGCAGCAGACACACGTGCAGGCGGGCGTGGGGTGCTCGTGATGTGATCAGTGGGGAAAGAACCGGAAAGCAGACCCAGTTCTGCCCACAGAAAGCCTCGTTGGCCTGCATTTTTCCTAGTCCGTGTGGAGGCAGGAGGTCCAGGATTCCACTGGATGTACTGCAAGGGCTGGTCACAGAAGCAGTGACAGGGAGGACTTGGTCAGACTCTTTGGAAGTCAACACTTCCAGACTTCTCCCAGCGACAGCCGAGGCAGCTGGAGGCAGCTGCAGTGAGACGACACCCACAGCAGGGCAGGATGAATGGGCCTCAGCGGCTAAGGGGATAGCTGCCAAGAGATGTCAAGGTCAGAGTCAGGGCAGCACGCAGCTAGAGAGCAAGCAGACTCTGTGAATGGTAAGATGGTCGAGAGTTGAGGGAAATGCCAAGTGGAGAACAAGGTCTCCAGGAAGCCACGTGGTTGTGAGGTCTCTGGAGGAGGATCTGGCGCCTCCTGGCAGTGGTTAACTTTATAAGTCAGAATGTCACTGAACGTTGGTGTTTGCACCTAAGAATTTTAAACATCGCCAAATAGGTTCCCTGTGCCGAGGAATCCACAAGGTTCTCGCCCAGCAAGCTGGAGCAACTGACACAAGCACCGATTTCCCAGACAGGTTCCCGCCATCTCACTGAGGATGAATAACCTGACAGGGATGTCGCCAGTCAGCCCACCCCCATCTGGCCAACTGCATCACGGCTTCTCAAGGATTTACTCAGTCCTGCTTCTCAGCTCAATTCAAGAGGTAGGTGTTATTCTATGGATTTGACTGAAGTTCCTCCACTGAGCCCATTCTCCAAATTCTCAGAAAAGCCATCTAGACATCAGAGACCTCTCCTTAGTTTCACACTGATATTTGTAGAGGGAAGACACAGGAGGCCTTTCCCTGGGAGAAAGTCTCGTGTTTAAAAAAATTTCAAAGCCCACCCTGTTCAGCTCATCATTTGTCAATGACATCTAGGCACATATTGTCTTGGCCGCCTGCTATTGAAAGGGGTTTGCTAATGCTTAAAAAAGAAATAAATCAGTCACGCAGGGAGCAGTCCCTGCATAATGGTAACTTTAAGATTTCTTGAAAATTGTAGTAACCTTAAAAAAAAGACTGACAAAAATCCCAGCAACTAAGAGGACAAAACTGACTCAGGCTGCCCTGGGAACTAGAGCCCTTCCTGTTCCCCTCCCTGACTGTTCCCCAGTGGCGGACCCAAGCCCCAGGCTCAGGCATGTGCCTCTGGAGTCTGGGGGACCCGTCAAGTCCACAACAGGGAAGGGCATCTGCCGGGCTCTAGTTAAGCTAGTTCCTTGTCTAAGTGTCAAGACAGTAATCCCCCCAATTTAGATAACTGGGGGCAAAATGAGTACGATGAACGCATTTAAAGACCCTCCAACTTTGGAAGTCAACACTTCCAGACTTCGTGGATGTTTACACAAACGGTGCAAACAAGTCCGTCAGCACAAATCAAGTCGGCCCTCACAAGAGAGCACTCAAGGCAGAACAGGCCTTGGATCTGTCTGGATCTGTCTCTAGCCATGACATGAGATTCGTGACTGACTGTGCAATATGAAGGGAAAGCAACAACCACTCACGCTGTTTTAAACAAACACCACCAGATTAATTCAAATAAATATACTTTATTAAAGAAAAAAGGAATATTGTTAAAAAGCACCAAAACTGTATGTTGTTACATTGCATGTACAATAAGAGAAAGGTGATTGCAATACTTGGTGTACAAGTACTTGAACTCTGAAGTCATGAGTGTAAAAAACATGAAATACAAAGCAATAATTACAATGCAGAAAAGTTGCACTAAAGAGCAAAAGGCAACGATCAAAACAGTTATTGGAGATTTCATAGTATTGCTATAAATGCTTGCTTAGTTTTTTCTTTGTACTTTTAATACTTTAGAGTGTTAATTGAGCATATTTAAGTATTGTAAATTTGCAAGAGTTGGCATTTACAATACACTGTACGCTGTCCATTTAATGCAATGGTGTCAAAATCATCCTCACAAGCCAAGCACAAACAATGTGCTAGTGTTTTGCTTCTACCTTCATAATATTGCACAAAGCTAGTAAATGGTGAATTGGTTTGTCATTAAAATTTTAATTTACCCACAAAGGCTAAAAACCATGTCAGCCCCCTTAGCCCTCTTGGGCCATCATTCATGCAAGATGACCCGCAGCCTTCCACTTCTCATCAACAGTGTAACAAGGTTCACACTTGGAGGACACAGAGCACGATGAGAAATTCAGGAGACAATGGAGATTCTGTCCAAGTTAAGGAAGTCCGAGGTCACGGTACGGGTTGCATCGTCCACCCCCTTGGCTCACAAACGAGGGGAAATTGCCACCTTGTGATTTTGAAGACTTCTTGTTAAGACCGATGTAATTTGCGCTGGGAAAGGCTGGAGACACTTGTCACACCCTCTGATAGCTAACCATCAAACATGCGAGGAAAAAACACGACTTCCCCTGTTAAAACAGAACTCTCGCAACACGCACACCTTTTGTTTTCTGCTGTCAGTTTTCAGGGTCTCTCCTGCTCACTAACAACTCCCCAAACTGAGCCACTCTTAGCTGTACCTCAACTTAAGAACAACAACTTTCCCCTAGCCCTCAGCGTGAAGCAACATTTGTGGACCATTCACCGAGCCAGCCTCGGAGGTGCGGTCTGTGCACGCCCCTTGCAGTGGCACGATGCGTGTCTGCACAAGGGGAGGGATGCTACGCATTTGGAATTCAGTCAGTTCCACTCCACAATCACAAGCTGTACATTTACTGTGGGCAAAACATACATTTTAGAATAAACACATCTTCCTAACAACTCAATGGGCAAAAATCTTTTACACACACACGCACTCTCTCTCTCTCTCTCTCTCTCTCTCTCTCTGAATTCAGACTCCTGCCTGACTTTAAAAATCCTTTACATAATGTGATAGTTTAGGCAGCAAAATAAACTCACTTTGTAGGAAAAAACTTTTAAATTATACTATATTTATTGGATAAAAAATACCATTGCTTCATTTTACAAAGCAATGAAGCCTAGACTTCTTAATGTGCTTTAACACAAGAGCACTTGGCAGCAAGTTCAGAAGCAACCCCGAACGGACCAGCCACACCGCGCCCTGCACTAAGGTGCCCCCGCACTCCCTCCCCAGCAGCTCCTGCCAGTCCAGCCTCGAACGCCAAGCACGGCTCTCTTTCTATGCTAAGCGATACATCGGAAATAAAATCTAAAACGCACATTTAGCTTTACATTATCATTTATATTCAGTGCAAGATTAGGTAAAACTTAAGGTTGCATTTTAACAAGGTGTCTGCAGTACTTTCAAAATGCTTTACAGCTTTCATTTTGTACAAGCAACCTGCTAAAAAGTGTGAGAAATTTCAACTCCCTGATTCAAGGACCCAATAGTACTTTACATGTTGGTATCTAGTGTTAAGTTCATAATACTTCAACAACAAAGCTGGAAAAAAAAAAAACCTTGCATTTAGTGAAAGAAAAAGTTTCCTTAGGCTAAAAGCAGTGACAAATGCATACAACACACTCAGTGAATATAATTTAAAAATAGAGTCTTAGGGAACATATAAAGTTAAACTGAATTAACTGTACACTAATCCCATTCCAAATGGAGAGGAAACTACCCATTCACTTGTGTTCCGCTATTTAAGAGTTTTAATTCTTTTTTTTTTAGTTGGTGTCTCACTCTGTCACCCAGGCTAGAGGGCAGTGGCATGGTCACAGCTCACTCACTGCCTCCACCTCCCAGGCTCAGGCGATACTCCCTCCTCAGTCTCCTGAGTAGCTGGGACAACAGACAAACGCCACCAAGCCCAGCTAATTTCTTTTTACCTTTTTTTTTTTGTAGAGACGAAGTCTCGCTATGTTGCCTAGGCTGGTCTTGAACTCCGGGGCTCAAGCAGTCATCCTGCCTCGGCCTCCCAAAGTGCTCACGCCACTGCGCCTGGCCTCAGGAGTTTTAATTCTTAGTGTCTGCTATGGCCAAAGTATGTGTTCCACTTTGACACATTTTAAGACAAAGGCGCTGTGCCAATGTAATTATTGTGACACAGTTCAATTTTGTACAAACAGGATTCCCTTCCTCCTGATACAGAATAAACGAAAGTGCTAATAAACATGTTTCATGTCAGGAGAAAAGCCCCACATTCCCTCTCTTCCCTGGACTACAGCAGGGGATAGGAATCTCCTTTTTAAAAATGCACCTTATAGAAATATTTAGTTCCACAATGGAGAACTAAGATATGATTGTTTTATGCTGCTCCCAAACTCAGTAAGACTATAAAACAGCAAAATAACTGTTCGTTGTTTAAAAATCCTCTTTACCCGGCTGCTTCTCAGACTGCTGTACTAGGGGTCTGCAACTTTAAATCATGAATACCTTTCCTATACAAGGCTACACTGGTTACATGTCCATGATTTTGGTTGCATTTAGAGAAATCTTTGAAACGGACATTTAATTGAGCAGTGACATTAACCTCAAAGTATCCCATGCTCGTCATTTAATTGTCTTCCAGCTGAGGCTAGACTGGCCAATAAACTTCTGAATGGATTCAGCAGAAGCCGGCTGCTGGACGTGGACAGAGCCAACACATCACAGGAAGAGAATGGTCAGGCGTTGTGAACCAAAGACGCAGGCGAGCCTGGAGCTAAAAATGCGAGCATCTGTAAGTATCATAACTAAACATGTACAAACTTAGTATTAAGGCCAAAGATTCTAATTTTATTAGGGACAAAAAGGAGGAGTGGGGTTAACCATGCTTACATAACTTTTGTTGGGCTTGAGATGGCTTTAAAATTAACATGTGGGCTCAACTGGTAATCTCATCTTGATGGTAGACCCCAGTTACTTGAAATTTTAGTATTATCTGTGAATCTCTGCAAAGGCTTGTGGCCTGTCATCCTGTATGACTTGGTAGAAGTAGGAGCCTGGACCCCGAGGCAGGGAATGCCGAGCGAGCACAGCTAGTTACCCAGGCCCCAGCCCCTCCTGATCCCAGGTATGAGGTGATGCTCGTGGGAACCATGGTGGTGCTAAGAGTCACAGAAGAACCAGCATGAGGGCCAACCGAGTTCTGCATGCACTCCACCATCAGCTAAAGATTTCCCGCACTCTGGGCAGGAAGCGGGGAGCAGGATCCATGTATAAGTGTGTCTGCTTGGAATAGAACCTTAGCTGTAACACAGCGTAGCAACAATTCCCTTACAACATATGGAGGCTCCAGGGTTTCTGGTTAATTTAACTATATCTTTCTGTATGTTTCTAAATTTGAATAAATGAAAAAACTTAGGTTATGAGCAATCACCCAAAAACCTGAATACATAATAATCAGATGGCATAAAATTATGATTCTTTAAAAGGCTTTAAAATATTTCAAATATATTAACAACCTAACCAATCACTCCTTAGGTTAAAAAAAAAGTTTTAATACTTTACTGAAGGTATATAGGACAACCGTCCTGCCCCCGGGATGAAGTTTCTATATTAGATTTGTGTTTCTAATCTTTCCAGGCAAGTTCTATGAACAGTGCTGGGACTAAAACCAATGTTTTATGAAAATGCTGCATGAAGCTCCTAGTATCGTCAACGAACATGTTATCAACATTTAAAGAAAAAATTTTTTTATATACATAACCTGTAGTCAGAGGATTTTCACCATAATTATTTTAAAGAAAATAATATTTTAGAATGATAAGATGTGAGCATTTCTTTTCCAGGAATACCAATTCATATACATTAAAGGGCCTTTGTTCCAGTACTGCTTTCCAGGGTTAGGTCACAAGAACTGCCTTATAAGATATGAAGACCTTTTTGGTATTTCAGTTCTTAACTTCCTCCACAGAAGAGCCACGATGTGTCTCGTGCAGAACAACATTTACACAGTACTGTGAACCGGGCCCACCACATCTACATTCCAGTCCCCACCAGTCCTGCTTTCACCCTCAATGGCCCCATCCACATAAATGGATCCTTTTGGACCCCATCACAGCAAAAATCAGCACCAAGAGATACATATGCAACTTTCCACTTTTAGTGACAATAACAAAGGCTCTCTCCCAAAATTACATCCAAAGCATCTGAAGAGAGTGAAATGGCAGCCAAGAAGATTTAAGATCTGTATCCCTATTACTGAATCTTGATTTCTGATTCTCAATAGGAAAGTCATGTGAGTCATAGTAATCAAACAATAGTTCAAACAAAAGAAAACAATTTGAAATATTATCAAATTACAAAGTATTGCTTTTCATAAACAAGGATGCACATAAAATTCAAACTATTATAAATTCAGAATTATGAAGAGCAATTTAAAAGCATGGAAATTTTAACTTCAAAACCTTACAAAGTGTAAGACTGGCTTTCTAAAAATACATCATGTTAAATGTATCATGTGCTAAATACATTAATAGATGCATCTCCATTGTTATGTAGTTTTTTAGATGTTGCTGGACATCTTTATGAAAATTCCTTTGGACATGAGTAATATGGAAATTTTAAGTGTATTTCCATCTGACTTTAATTCCTGACCTATAGCTATCATCATACACTTCTTTTTCAGAGTGTTTGCACTATTTATCTAAGCAGATGTGAAAGAAGCTGCTTTTCAGATGCCTTTTCAGCGCACTGAAAGATGGCTCTCAACGCAGTCGCAATACAGCTCACAGCAGGTCTCTGCCAACCCAATGTTCTGATTCACAGCCACCCAAGTTTCACTGGCCACAACCAAGGAGGTACATGGGGGAATGGGAGGAGAAAGTGCATAAAGACAGAAATCACCAGAAGGCTGTTCTTCACTGCAGTCAGGACACTGCATATCTGCAGCTCATGTCAACCTCCATCACTGGCATGACTGGGAGGTGATGACCTGCCACTTATATGACTCCTCTTTTCCCACTGCTGAGCCAACACACTTTGGTCTAATGGAATCCAACTCTGGAACCCAGCACTTAAACTGCTGTTTTCCAAAAGAATCAGAACCAATCTTCAACTGTATTTTTCTTCTTTCTGTTATATTGCCTGTTTACAAAAACAAACAAACACAGAGCATTAATAAAGATGACCTTTCACAGATATGTGTATGTGTGTTCCCTCATACCCTCTGCAACATCCAGGCTGGGCACTGATAGCTTTTTCTTATGAATGGCCACATATACATCCCTTTAAAAAGGATGTTTGTATTCTTAAAGCAATAAAAATGAAAACAAAATGATCTGAGTACAGATTTTAATCACTGTTAAAACATTTTAGACTTATTTTCGTGTTTATTCTTTATTACTCTAACACTTTACATCAAAACTATACACTAAAAAGGTAAATTCAATCTAAAATATATGCCAATTATAGTACAGTAAGAACTATTAAGTGGCATCTTTAAAATTCAGTATAGAAAAGCCGGGCTCGGTGGCTCAGCCTGTAATCCCGTGCCTTCGGGAGGCTGAGGTGAGTGGATTGCCTGAGCCCGCGAGTTCGAGACCCGCCTGTGCAGCGAGACCTCATCTCTACAATAAATCAAAAAAATTAGCCGGGCATGGTGGCGCGCACCTGTAATTCCAGCTACTTGGAAGGTGGAGGCGGAAGGATCGCCGGAGCCCAGCAGGTCGAGGCTGCGGTGGCTGGGAGCGGCCACTGCACTCCAGTCTGGGTGATGGCGTGAGACTCCAACTCAAAAAAAAAAAAAATTGAGTATAGATTGCTTGTCAAAAGGACAAGATCACTGGCCTTTAAATGAATACTTTATCAGGACTTTTTTATTCAAAAGTCTTGTGTTTGAGATCTGCGGGCTTACCTGTGGCATATAAAAGACACACCGATCAGATAAAAGCTGACAGACACACGAATAAAGTACCAACGTATCAGAGTTCTGCACGTGGCCACATGTGGCTAATGAGCACGTACAATGTGGTTGATGTGACTGAGAAGTTAAATACTTTAGTTTGATTTAAATTAAAAATCTGAAACAGCATAAAATATTTTTTCATTGAATACGATTTCACTATTCTGATAGGCTATTTCAATTCAATCATTGAATACTCAGCATTCAAACTGAGATGTGCTACTAAGAAGTATAAAATACACACTGAATTTCAAAGACTTAGTATCAAAAAAATTAAAAAGAAAACTGTGACAAATTTTTTATGTTCCTTACATGTTGAAAAGTACTATTTTGGCTGTGTTGTCAAACAAAATATAACTAGAATTATTGTACTTGTGACATATGTTAGTCGGGCATGGTGGCACACTATGTGTGTATGTGGTCCTGGTTACTTGGAAGGCAGAGGCAGAAGCATTGCCTAAGGCCAGGAAGTTAAGGCTGCGGTGAGCTGTGATTGTGCCATTGCACTCCACACTGAGTGACAGAATGAGACTCAAAAAATAAAAATGAAAAGTCTATGAATGACACATAGTTCCTTGTGTTTAAAAATTTCTCTAAAGGACACTACTGACTAAGGCTCTCTAGGAGAGTTTCAGAGGGGAATGAGGTAAAACGGGGGGACACTCATTTTCTACTTCATGAAGTTTCAAGAAAATTAGCACTTTAAGCAGAAAGTATGTAATTACATCAATGATTTAAAATCCGGAAGAAAGAGCCAGCTGGGTGTGGTAGTTCATGCCTATAATCCCAGCACTCTGGGAGGTGGAGGTAAGAGGACTGCCTGAGCCCAAGCATTTGAGACCAGCCTGGGCAACTTTGTGAAACCTATATGATAAAAAATATGTTCATATATATTAGCTGGGCAAGGTGGTGCACACCTGTAGTTCCAACTACTTGGAAGGCTGAAGTGGAAGGATTGCCTGAGCCCAGTAGGTCAAAGCTGTGGTAGCCATTAACGTGTCCCTGCACTCCAGCCTGGATGACAGAGTGAGACTCTGACTCAATAAACAAACAAACAAAAAACCCTACAAGACATATTCAAAGAACAGAAAACACAAATTGCAGTACAGCTTATTTAGCCATCTGCAGAAAATTATCTATAAAGCAGCGACACACAGCTCAGTCATTGCTGCTTCTGGCATAGACTACATGCATTAAGGGCAGCCTTGCAGATTTCCAAGCTCATATATTATCTTGGAGTGTTTCATTGTTTCTCTCTCAACAATGTACCTCACATATCAGTCATCAACATTGAGTCCCCCACACCCTCACAAAAAGTTTTAAGCAATTTTCAAAATGGTAAACACCATGCACCATATTCTTAGTACCAGATACTAAGGTTAAAGTAGCAGCCAGAAGTTGTGTGAGTATCAAAAGGCTGATGCACTGTCTATGGCTAGGCCGGTGCTTTTGGATAGGAGACGACAGGCATGGTGACAGGATGGGCTGGCCTTCGCAGACGCTGGTGTGCTGGGGTTGGGCCACTGTGAGCCAGCTGGAAGGCCCCACTGTGGAATTAACCAACTGGAGCAAACATGGTTGTTTTAGGCACTGGCATCAGCAACTCCCAGAGAAGCAACAGCAGAAAGAGACAACACAGCAGACACAAGAAGCAATGTTGGAGACAAGTTATAAATATATCCACTGTGAAAGAGTTCCCATCCAGACACACCTGAGATGCTGGACAGTTGCACACTAAGCAGACACAGAGATATACGCAATCCTCTACACAGCACAGTGGACATTATGTATAAGCAGAAATGGCTTGAAATATTCTGGGATCCAAAAATAATCCATCATACAAAGTGACTATAATTAGGACCTTTATATGTACTATTGCATGTTGGTTGAATCATGATTAAATGTAACATATAATCACATATCATGAAAATGTGGGTGCTTTTTTTTTTCTTCCCCCCTTTGGTTTAAATTATTCATTGGGGCAGATGCTGATGGAGGGTGAAGAAGTACTAAAGTAACATTTCTTAATAGACCCCTGCCCAAAGAACAGGCAAAATTGCTTTCAGTAATATTCTATCTGATCTAACCACAACTGTACCTTTCAATATGTAATTGATATTATAAAACTGACATAGATTACATTTTCTGTACTAAGTCTTCAAAATCCAGATGTATACCCGCACATATCTACTCAGAATTCTTGAATCAAGGCCAGAAATATACACTTTTAATAAGCTCTTCAGGCTGGGTGCAGTGGCTCACGTCTATAATCCCAGCACTTTGGGAGGCAGAGGTGAGAGAATTGCCTGAGTTCGAGACCAGCCTAGGCAACTTGGCAAGACCTCATTTCTACAATAAACAAAAAAACTTTTTGAGACTCTGACTCAAGGAAAAAAAAAAAACTCTTCAGGCTATTTTTATGATTAAGCAGGTTTAAGAATCACTATGTTATTATTCCCTTATTTCTTCAGAACTGAAGTCTTCCCTCTTTTGGTGAATGTTAAGTTCATAGAAACATATTCCATCCAGATAGAATAAATAGGACATGTTTGTACAGTTTATACATTTTGCACAAATCACAACATTTCAATCACAATTATTACCAATCCTACATACTAATTAATTTACAGCATGTGTTATCTTTACCGATTCTACAGATCTAGTATAATTTATGCCATAGCATCTATAACTAGATTGTTGAAATTTAGTGGACTACAATTACTTTAGGAGAATGTCACATGTATAACCACCAGTGAGAATCTTAATATGCATAGGGGTACTCAAGATACACATGCCACTTTTTAAAATTTATTAATGATAGCTGCAAACTTATCTAAACAATGTGGCAACTGTCATAGGTCTAAGTAGTTTTAAGGAATTAGCAAGTTAAATAATCAAACGATGCAATAATTTTTCCAGAGTAATCTCATAAAGCTCCTTTGTTGGCAGTTAAAATTACATCAAAATTCAGTATGAGGCTGGGCGTAATGGCTCAAGCCTATAATACCAGCACTTTGGGAGGCCAAGGTGAGGGGATTGCCTGAGCCCACGGGTTCGAGAACAGCCTGGGAAACTTGGCGAGACAGACCTCATCTCTACAATAAATAAAAAAATCAGCCAGGCATGGTAGAACACACCTGCAGTTCCAGCTACCTGGAAGGCTGATGCAGAAGGATTGCCTGAGCCCAGCAGGTCAATGCTGCAGTGCCGTGAGCGTGCCACTACACTCCTGCCTGGGTGACGGAGTGAGACTTCAACTCAAAAAAAGAAAAAAAAAATTCAGTATTCACAAAAGTTTGTAAGTGAAATACTTAGTTATAGGAGCATGCCACCATGCCTGGAAAGCCTTTTCTGTTTTTTAAGGCAAGAATAATACTGTCACTTCACTTAGAATAAAGCTATGTGGCAGAAATTTTTAATGAGCAGGACAACAAAAAATAGCATTTATATATCAACAGTCCTTAAGAAGTCAAGTTTCTAGAATCTGTTATTTTGAGTTTCTAGAAACTATAGAAGACCTGAAGTTTACAAACTTATGATAAATGGTAAAAGTGGGCGGTATAATAAACAATAAGCCTCAGACTCAACAAAAAAACACAGACCTCACCATCCAATATAAAAGCTGTATCACTGAATGCTACTAAAGACAGGAAGGCCATTTACTTGTTAGTTCTCCCAGTCTGTGCAAGGTAAAGCCTCCTCTTCATCCTCGGACTCAGGGGACGCTTCTTTAATTCTTCTAAGAGCTTCATGGATGCTCCGTGTCAGAGGGTCTGTATCGGGTAGAAGTGTGAAGGATTCTCTCAACACATCCTTCTGCACCTTCTTCAATTTGACCCCTTTCCTTATTTGTGCCAAGATATTATTACTATCATCTTCATCAGGAAAAGGAGGCAGAGTTCGTTGTTCTACCTTTTTCAGGTGAAAGCTACCACGCTTCAAGGAAGCCAGCACCTCATCCATGGGGGAGCTCACTTTGGAAAAATAAACAACAATTATAGTTAGGACTGTACTTTGTTATAATCAAACTGTATAGCCTCTAATGTTTTTGACTATGACAGCTCAGGACACTGAAGTACAATCTTACACATAATGAATCATGAAACGTGGGCAGAGGTTGCCAGAGCACAAGGGATCCACATGTTAAAAAAAACCCGACTATAATCCCACAGCAGCTATTGCTGGTGTTCCTCTCCTTTCCCACGTGAGAGAAGTGAGTGAACTGGGAGCTGGCTTTAGTGATCTCATGATTAAGATTCCCAAAAGGTTTCCATATTACAAACACCCAACACACATTCAGATAGTGACTGGGATGCACACTTCATTTATAAAAATTAAATTCTGGTTCATTATGGTGACTGTGTTTTTTTTCATTTAGTTGATTTATATGTGAAACTCTACTCAGATATAGTAAAAAATATTCTACAGAAAGGTCTCTCAGATTAAAATGTAACAGGCAAACTGCTTTATATAATATTCTTCCCCATGTGAAATGAAAGCTCCCGAAAGGCAAGGATTATTTCTTGTTCTTTTTAGAAATAACTGTATTGAGGTCAGGTGCAGTGGCTCATGCCTGTAATCCTAGCACTTTGGGAGAGCCAGGCAGGAGGATTGCTTGAGCCCAGGAGTTCCAGCAAGACAGTATTTTGTTTGCTTGTTTTTGAGTTGGAGTCTCACTCTGTCACCCAGACTGGAGTGCAGTGGCCGCTCCCGGCCACCGCAGCCTCGGCCTGCTGGGCTCTGGCGATCCTTCCGCCTCAGCCTTCCTGGAACTACAGGCGCGCACTGCCACGACTGGCTGACTTTTGGATTTATTGTAGAGATGAGGTCTCGCCAAGTTGCCCAGGCAGGTCTCGAACCCGCGGGCTCAGGCAATCCTCTCTGCT